AAAAAAAAAAAAAAAAAAAACCATACAAGCATCAATTAACATATAAAATGAAAAGAAAGGCTAAACTGTGCATACACCATGATGGCATTTAACGAAAAACAAAGCCAAAACTGCACGGTTCTGCAGGTGCATAAGAGAATCCCAGGACAGTCATGCAACAGGAGGCTGACTACTCCTAACCCGTACATTTTAATGGCTAATTTCATGTTATCTGAATTTTACCGCATTTTAAAAAGCGTAAGAATTCCCATTCAACTATTATCATTAGCCGTGGTTCCCCCAGGAGGAGATGGATTGGGTGGGGGGAAAGGACTTACTTTATCTGTACTACTGAAAGACTTTAGAGAGAGAATTACAATACATACATGAAAACAAAAATAAAGAAAATGTGGAGAGAAAATTTATACTTGAGGAAAGCCATATTTATTTTAAGTAAATATGATTATGCAACCAATTCACGCAATCTGACTGTAAGTACGTAGAGAGGAAATTTCTGGAAGTGTGCTTTTTTTCTGGTGTGGCAGCTTGTAGGTGATTTTTATTTTCTTCTTTGTGCCTGATTTTTCAATGTTCTTTGATAAACATATTTTACTGTAATACAGGGTGAACACTATTGTGGGCCGCACAAGTCCTGGCCTTCATCTGAGAGGGCGAGGCAGGTGTGAAGCCCAGAACCCCTGCGCGAAGGATGGGGCTTGTTTTCTCCCCCAAAACACCCAAGACCAACATCTGTGGGGAGGCGCCATGAGACCGACGTCTGCGGGCAGGTACCATGAGTTTCGGGAAGCCACAATCCACACCACACCAACGCCTTTTCCATCTAAAGACACACTCAACTACACGGCTAAGCTTGGGCCCTGATCCCCAAAATTCTGTCAGTCATAAACACACATTTACTACAACACGCCTAGGGAGGCCTTCGGAAAACAGCAGAGTTTGGTAGCTTCTCTCAATTATCTGTGAACCTCCTTATTCTGCCATAGTAGAGTGTATGGAATGTGCTTTTATTCTAAGAAAAATGTTATGTTCAGCCTATCAATGGCATGCTTCAAAACACAGCCTCAATAAACCCTGAATACAGGGAATCCTTGTGCGTGTCGCGTAAGCTATGCGAGGGCTCACGTGCAGCACCGCACAGGCCGTGGGGTGCCAAGTGCTCATGCAGGCAGGCAGTTAAGGGGGAACACCTGGGTCAGACACCTGGGCTCAGCTCCAGGCTCCCCCACCTGCCTGCGAGCCTCCTGAGCTGGCTGAGCCCGAGTTTGCTTGTCGGCAAAAAGGGGGCTGCCGTGACCACCACGAACAGTGCCTGGCGCAGAGTGGGTGCTCAGTGGTGCTGGTCCACATGGAGGAACCCAAGCGGGCACCGTGCACAGTGCCGTGAGGGAAATCCATGTGCTGCCCTGCTCCCGCCACCTTTCTTGGCCCCTTTCACACTTTCTTACTGTGCGGCATTAACACTAGCAGTGTCCATAACACCACAGCAGACACAACCACAAGTGAGGGCCACGAAGACAAGTTGGTAAAAACAAGATGCTAGAACTCTTAGGGCGGAAGCCTTCATCCTGTTGCCATCCTTCATTATGTCCGGTCATTTGAATAATACTGGACAAACGTCCCACGTCCTGGGCATAGCTAGGCTTGGAGTGGATAAGACAGACCCGGCCCTGCACTCCTGAGGCTTCCAGCACCTCCAAGCACAGCAGAATGAGGGCTTCAAAGGACAAGGTGCCAAGAGCTTGAGAATGAGGCAGCACCCGGCCCGGCCGAGGGTCCCAGCCTCTTCCTGCCACAGGTGAGAGAGATCCCAGGCCAGGTAATAATGAAGGGCACAGACTCCCAGCCCCTCAGGGCATCACAGTCCTGCCTGGAAGCCGGAAAGGGGCCTGTGGCTCTGTCTCTCCTGCAGACCTGGGAGCGGGCCCCCGCAGGGACGCCCACACTCTTTCCCAGTCGCCACTGAGGGAAGCCCATGGACAGAGGTTGTCCATGTCAGGGGGTTCCCTGCAATGACTCCTGCTGTCACAGAACAAACCAGAGCCACGTGTCCTTCCCAGACCCAGATGTTCTCCGAAGGCCCCTCCATCACCATAAGCACGGGGCACCAACCATGGGCAATGGTTTCCTGACAGGAACACTGGCATAAACACTTCACAGAACCGACCAGAGCAACGTCCCAAAGCCATTCCTTCAGCACGCGTGAACATCCATGCTGCTTTATAAAAATCAGGGTGTGCATCTGAAAGTGACTGTAGTTTTAATAGTTTCATTTACATAGAAACTGTCTTTTGCTCACGTCAAGTCCAAATTTATAGAATTTCAAATACTTTTAGGTACACAATTACTAACCACATAAAACGTAAGCTGAAAGAGGACAGGCAGGATGACGCTGATTTGGGGTGTACTTCTTACACTTTCAAAGGATAATTTTAAGTCTCTAAGACAAATACTGCAGACACTGAGGCTTATAAAAAGGAAATACTAAATTTGGACAACACATCTTTTTTTGAGTTTTAAAGGACTGAGACTTACGTTTTTGATTCCTGTCCCTAGAATAAACTCTCGACACGGGCCCGGGGGCCGCGGGGTGCGCCGTGAGCACGTCCTTGCGCTCGGAGAGCATGCTGCAGTTGCTGCAGGAGAAGCCGTTGTGCGTGGTGGCAGCGGCGGCTCCCAAGTCCCCATTTCCCTGAATGGCAGCTTTATTTCCACCTAAAGTTTTCAAACAGTAGATGGTAGATGGAACCTGTTTATCACAGTCTGCAGATACTTAACTAAAACTTCTATTTTGAAAAGTGTATGAAAGTAAAAGGACGAAAATAATTACCTTTAAGATCACCATCATCGTCAAGACCTAAAAAAAAAAAAAAAACAAAAAAAACACACACATTTTTGCTTTTGAGCTCAACTTATCAAATAAGAACAAAACCCATTTTAAAAATGTAAAGGTTACAATGGTTAATAAATCAGCATTATGGCACTGGTCACGGTTCATTTCCTAAAATGCCTCCAGATAGATGCAGATACCATCTTCTGACTGAAGGTGAAAACTTGTCTTTGGAGAAAATACAGAGAGACGGCAGCACACACAGCACCTGGACTAAGGAGGGAAGCAGAACATGAGGGAAGGAGGGGAATGCCCATCTTCTCACAGCCCGCTCAGTGAGGCACAAGCCTCAGCAGCAGATGCCTCTCCATTGCCTGGTACTCACTTTCACTAGTTGAGCAAAACAGAACAAACACGAATATCAAGTCTTCTCAAAATTAGCACACACGATCTCTGGAACTAATCTGGATCTTCTAATTGTCTCAAACGGGCCAACCAGAACATCAACTGAACGAAGATGAGCGGCTGGGCATCCCTTACCACGCTTCCCTCTCCTTGCACAGCCTTGGGACCCCATGCTCTCCCCAGCCAGGCTGTGGCTCCCACTGCCCAGACCCCACGTCAGCCAAGTCTGAGTGCCAATGCCTCACCCTGCAGCATTCTCTAACAACTCTCTAACCCTGGCTGCTTCATTGCTTAGAGCTGTCTTGGAAACACACTGGTACGTTTTTGGACTTTGTTCAAACATTCTACAAAAGTAATGCATTTATAAAAACAGAGTTTTAAGATTACTACCTGCTGCTTAATCTCCCCATTACAACTAGTCACTATACGTTAGCATAACCCAATGACAACCTGACAAGGTGCACATGGAAGCAGCTTCCAAGGAGCATCCTGATCAAATTTGAGGACAAGCCTGAAACCTAACTGATGCTCCTCCCAACCAGTCATGCAGCAAACCGACAACCTGGCCGCAGCCTCCCTCTCCCCAGCATAATCCGTGCAAACTGACAATGTGGCCACAGCCGCCCTCTCCCCAGCATAATCCCTGCAAACCAACAACCTGGCCATAGCCTCCCTCTCCCCAGCATAATCTGAGAGACACCCCAACCGTAGGTGGGGCGATCTGCATCTCCCAGGGACTCACCCCAGAAGTGGTCCACTGTGGTCTGTTCACGAATCCAAGACTCATCCAGTACAGGAGGCTGTCGAGTCACAGCATCCTGCAGGCTGTCAGTGCCGCTGTGGCTGACGCCAAAGGACGTGACCTGCCTTGACACGTGGTTGATACTAAAAGCTGATTTGTTTGTGCTTCTGCGCTGTTTCGCTGTTCTAAGAAGAAAAAAGACAGCAAGTTTATAGATCTTTTCTAGAAAACACAAAATGATTACATTTGACCAACACAAACTCTTCATCTGGGGATAAACACAGCATTTTAAGGCAAGCCCTTTTCTTATGCCTTTTCCGCTGTAATGAATCAATTGTTAATATAAAAAAGGAATTTTTAAGCTGGGATCCAAGAACTCCCTCTAAAATTGTAAACACAAAATAGTTTCCAGGTTATTTTGGGCACCATGACCCCAAAGTGGTTAAAAGCTAAAATAAACTAAAAATAAAAAAGGCTGGAAAATAAAAAAACTGTGATTTATAAATGTAATCCTCCCCTTTTCTAAAAGCGATTTCTAAGTTGCTGGTAAAGATGGAATTGTATTAAGTACAGCAAGAATAGGTGGTCACAGGCCGGGCGTGGTGGCTCACACCTGTCATCCCAGCACTTTGGGAGGCCAGGGCAGGCGGATCACCTGAGGTCCGGAGTTTAAGACCAGCCTGACCAACATGGAGAAACCCTGTCTCTACTAAAAATACAAAATTAGCTGGGCGTGGTGGCGGACGCCTGTAATCCTAGCTACTCGGGAGGCTGAGGTGGGAGAATCACTTGAACCGGGGAGGCGGAGGTTGTGGTGAGCCGAGACAGCGCCATTGCACTCCAGCCTGGGGAACAAGAG